GTAATTGGGTTGGGTATTGTACTGGGAATGTATTATGGAAGCATTAAAAAATGACATATTAATATTGTCGTCTGCAAGTGACCGACACCTGGAGACGCATTTTCTATTTGGTTCATTATTAATTAGCTTACCATGTATAGTTAGATAAAACTTTGGGATAGTCTGTTTTAAATTAGTTAAAATATTTTTGTCAATTACTTGATTAATAATTGTGTTTGACTTGGTACAAAATCTTCATAATATGTAAATTTTTATTTAATAGAGCTCGTGATTTTAAAAAGTTAGAAGTATATTTTTGTTATTGAACTATTTTCCTCCCTTTTCATCTCTATAGTTACTTATTGTTGAAGAAAATTCTTAGCTTATATAGGTTACAGAAAGAATCATCAAAATTATTCTTGGCTAAGACATTGATAACATCAATAACCACAAAATATATGTATACATATCTCATAATCAATTTCTGTATTAAAGTTGAATTTTTTATCGTACATCTACAAAACTAGTTAGTGATAATTCTTCAATATTTGTATGTAAGTAGTTCTTTTTATAAAAAATATTATTTTAGTAGTACATAGCGAACACCAAACATGTAGATATTTTACCGTAAAAGTATGTTCTGAAATACTATGTACACAGTATTTCAATTATCTGTATATTCTCTGGAGGCATTGTAGGATAGCTATACACGCAAGTGTTTACGGGGGAATTCAGTCCTGCCCTCTGTGAAACCGTTTGACGTCACAACGAAACAGGTCATCAGGTTCGTGGAATACAATTATAAATTATACACCTACTTATTCCAGCAAAAATATGTATCTCACGAGTATTAATTTATAGGTGGAGTTATTACTTTCTGTTAATTTTTTTGCAGGAAGATCAGATTAAACTTAAATAAATAAATTAAATAACGATTTTTAAACAAAACTGCAAAATTACTTTGTTTTTTAAAGCACAAAATAATGAAATTTATTATAAAAATATAATAATCCTGAATACTTGACGCAATGCCATCCAGTTCCGAGCTTATGATATTGGTACTAGACAATTGAGATAATACTTTATATTTAATAAAAAAATGAAACCTATTAAGATTAATCCAGAAGTAGAATTCAAGATCTCTCGTCAAATTATTTGCCATTCCAAGAATCTTAAATAATAAAAGGTTTTCTTATTTTTTTTTATATAATAACAGTTCTAAATAACGGGCTTAATATTCCAATTTAAATTCCTAACGTATTAAAATTATTATCCTATCGATAATAACGTTATAGGAACTAACGAAGCCATCAACATGAATATTCAACAACGAAGGTTCATTCTTGTATCGAACTTTCGATGTTTTAAATAGCTGATGGGCAGCGCGTTTTCCCGATTTTCTCAGCGTTCATAGCAAAGCAACTTAAGCAAATTACTCAGTGGAACGCTCCATAATTATTATTCAACCTTTATCCGAGGCAAATCGAGTAAATTTGTTCCAAAATTACTTTTATTAAAAGCATTTCTTTCCCTCCGCCGAACCAAAGTGCTAAAGTAGAGTAAATGGACTGGAATTTCCGTTTCAGGAATAAATTATATAAGAATATTAGAGAAAATAACCCTTTAAAATGTGTTCTGGTAAGTATATTATATTATACACTTTGTGGTTTTTTAAAATATTACCTACTATAAAATTGCTTTCCTTAAAATACGTTTGTTGTTATATTTGTTTTAAATAATAATAATATTAATAATGATGTACATAATTATATTTCTTTAGTTTCTAATTCTGCAATTTAATATATATATTTGAAAGTATATACAGAATTATACATAATATGTACTTAAAAATTGCGAGGAAAGTTTGGGTTGAGCTTGCAATAAAAAAAGTGTAGTTGTTTAATAAATTGCTCGTGCATTTTAGTTTCGTCATTATATTAAAGAACAATAACAAAACCTTCAGTTTGCTAACTTGGTGGCTATGATCTCATTAGTTTCAAATCAGGACTTTATGATATACGACTAAGCTACCTAACTCAATTGTTATCTAAATTAAATGTGGCTACTAAACTAGATACAGCTTTTGATTATACAAAACCTATTAATGATAGTAAAAATATTATTATAGCAGTACATAGCAAACAAAAAAACACCTGACGGCCGATCTGATTCTAAGTAGCGGCCTATCCAAAACTACACACCATCACAAAACTACACAGTATTTGATGTCCGCGACATACTTGCACTGTAATACCGGAGGATTAATATGCAATGTCGAATTATCCTGTAATTTCACTACTTTATCTCATTTCAACTTCAATTAATACACAGTTTACAAACCAAACTGCTTGACGGCTGATAGAGGTGAAACTGAGATACCCAACTAGACGACTTATTAGCATATCCTTCTCAATAAAACTATTGTGAACTGATATACATTTACACAAAACATAAGTGTTTTATTATTGATTTTATAATTTAAATTATAATTCTAGTCATCATTAGAGTTGAAGTAATTAACTTGAAATCACCATAATATACAATAGACGAGTAAACTTATCATCCAAGTTTGAAACTTCCAGACAGTTGTTCCATTCACAAGCCTGTTTTATAGATATTTATTTAATGCTTAGAGTTTCCGTGAACTTCATTACAACATTCAAAGATTATTATATTAATAACTCTCCATGAACTTTGATGCTAATTAAATAATTAATACACCAAACAGTAACAAAGTGGTATATAATGTACTTAGAGACTTTGAATTAAAATGACAGTCTTCGAGTTGTAACATTTAATTATCAAACATGTTCTTATTCTCGAGTAATTAATCAACATCATTACAATACACTAATATGAATTTATCATTATGATATATGAGAATGAGTGGTATCACGACTGTATAATATTAACGTGGTGATGTTCATGTTCAGGCGACGGTTACCACTTACCATCGTGGCACATGGGTTAGATGGTTACAATTCCAATTACTTAAAAAAACACCTCCCTGATGCATCACAAGAATAGGACTCGGCCAACTATAACCACGCTGGTCTATAAGATTTGGAGAAAATGTTTATATCTTGTACTATTAAATTAATAAAATACAAATATTGACTACAAATGTAGAAATGAATACCGATTATGTCAATTAAAATTAAATATGCAAATGAATTTAACATTTTGCTCTAGACATATGTAAATGAATAGGTTTATTCCATAAATGTTGTTTGAACTGTAGACAAATTAATTGTATACTTAAAGGGACCGAGTTCCCGCTTCCTCAAATATTTGTCCCTACCTTTGGCTTGTTTACTTGGTACATATTACCTTTTAATAATAATTTATAACAGTTTATAGCTACTCCAAAACTTAAAAAGTGTATTAAGATACTAAAAGTTATTTTTTATATTTTTTAAGTAAATAAGGGATGGTTATGCTACTTATATAATATACAAATATGACTTATTAATATTATTATTATTACAAATACGAACAGCTGATCAAATCTATTTAAAATACGTGAAGGTGGATTATCACGAATATATCTTTTATAAAAAAGCTAACCCAATATGTATGAGCTAGTAGGAATTAATAAATATATATTATTTCGTAGGAAAAAGAAAATATTAACAGGTCAGACTGACCAAAATTCCACTAAAAGGAACAATACGCTCATAATTGTAAAGAAAGTTGTAGGAAACTTTGTATACCTGAGATAACATTAAAAGAGATTCCCAATAGAAATTATTATAATATCTACAATGTAACAAAATACTATAATATATTAGGAAAAGTATAACAAGATGAAGAAGTAAATTATGTATATGGCTGGGTTGTTGAAATTGTTCAAATTCAAAAGTTCAAGTTTATTTAAATTTTACTGTCAAATTTTCTCTCCAAATGGCCATAAACAAACATATGGTCCTGCTAATAGTAAACTTGTACTGTAGTTACTTCTACTTGACCGCATTCAGAACCGTGCAACCAGAATCATTGGTAATCAATGTCTTTGTGACAGACTCGACCTTATTGGCTTTGCGGAGTGCCATTGTATCTCTGTGTATTTTCTACCGCATATATCAGATTTGTTTATCCAGATGCTTTTTATCAAGCCCAACCATATTGTGGAATAACATTCCTGCAATGGTATTTCCCAAGCGATACGATATTGAAACCATCAAAAAAAGAGCTTATTCTTAAAAGATTGTGAAATCACCTACATTTGCTTAGATGTGGCTGGCGTGTGCTTATGATAGGGTTTCTTACATGAAGTGAGCAGCCAACTCATTTGTCCCCTATGCCATTAAGAAACAACACTCTATATACCTATTCTCTACATCATAAACATAACGACTATTACGTGTATAACTACACATTATTGATATACCTAATATGGGTTATTTTATTACACTTTCATAACATACAATAGAAACATGTTCATTTGATATCTTATTTACAGAGGTCATTAGATTACCCATTGTATTTATTACTTCAATATAGGTACACGGTTTAATATACATATAGTATAATGTTAAGATTATATAAAATTCATCTTCAAAGCTATTATCCCAAATATGTTAGTCAAAGACGTTGTCAATCGTCGACGTCATTGTAAAAGCAACACTTTTTCATTGTAAAAACAACTGGGAGTTTCGCTGGGTACATTCAAATCTAATTTGGTAGTGCTTACCGGGCGGTACTGCTGACTTATAGATCACTTTGCTTATCGTGGTTATTTTCATGAGTAAATATAAATAAATTTGCCACTTGAAGTTTTTTAGAAATAGGCAGATTTGAACTGGCACCTTTCGGTGTAAACTGAGTAATCAGTAGTAATCAACAAACAACGATGTTCTAAATAATTAAGTATTTCTATATAAGATACAAATAACTAAAATTTATTAAGAAGTAGCCATACAATGTATTTTTAAAGAAGCTCCTTTTAAAATGCACCGCATCTTCTATTTACCTAATTGTAACAAAACGCAATAATAAGTTTTGTTTTTTTTGTTCAACAGCTATAACCTCAGCACACGAGATTACCCAATTGAAGGTGCCGTTATATGCAGATCCGCGGAGACCCGCGGTCCTAAGCTGCCATTTTCAAATGGACGATCAGAAATTACATTCTGTCAAGTGGTACAGGGATATGAATGAAATATTTAGATATAATCCCTCTCAGAAGGTAATAACTCAATGTACTAATTATGATTGCTGTATATATACATAGGTACGAATTTTGTTCGTGACGGCCACCTAGATAATTTGTACCCAGAATACAAATGTTTATACGTCAAACCGCCGCAGGCCTTCGTGAAGCTTAAATAAGCAGAACAGCGCATCACATTTAAGTTTGGAACTGTCGTTTTAACATCTCAAGTATAAATATGTGTTTAATGAGTAGTATATAACAAATGAAGGTGATTTTCCTAATATAAAATTATTAATGCCTACCTACTAGAAATATATAATAATAAATTTGTATTCTCATTTGGTGCATTTAGTTGGCACTTTTATTATTATAGTTCGAATAAAAGATCCATTAAAGCGTAAATGAGTAAAAATTACACAGTACAGGATACATGCGTGCTTAGCTAATTCTGAGGACTAAGACAAGTCGGTGGTATCTACTCCTTCTATAATTACATAAACTTAAATTGCTTTCTGTGTTCTAAATTTAAAATATGAAGGTTTTTTCAGCCACCTATACGACTGTTCAACGTAACGGACATCATGGTGCAAGGAGGGGAGTGTCAAATAGATTCGTGTATGGTGAAAGTTATGCCACCTCCTGTAGCGACGAGGGCCGCATATACTTGTGAAGTCTCTACAGAGGGTCCAAAGTTCCAGATAGCGAGGCAAACCAAGCACATGACTGTTGTTGGTGAGCTTTGTACACTATTTATGTAGAATTGTGCACATTATGTATATAAACGGGATATTTACCATCATAATATATGTATATTTGCTATATATGTATATTGTAATAAAATATTGAATTGAATTGAAAAAATTGAATATCGATATACATGATAGTAAATTTACATACGAAATAAATTTATACTATTATTATAATGAGAAATGAGTTAATTCATGGTAATGAAAAAACTAAAAATACCGATTTAAAGAATTTTTGATCTATAGAAATATTATTTACTTACTGATCCTCTGAATCGGAAGTGAATAGAAATAACATTTTTTAAAGATTTTTTGATATTAGTTGATGTAATTAAATATATAGAAATACGATTTTCATATACGCATATATCTACAAATATTTTAGAAACACACATTGTCTTTAAATATTTATATAATTAAATATGTAATTTAAAATTTTAAACCTTAATTTTATTATTGTTATGTGCCAAATAAACTATTTTCTTTCTTTCTTCTTTTTTTCAAATAAGCATACGAATTCTAAATCTCATGAATATGGGATTTACATAATTTTTAATCATACATTTGGTTGTTAGTATAATATTATAGCAGTAGTAGTAAATTATCAGTATTGGTGTTGAAAATATCAGTATTAAAAATATAATGAACCTTTAACATTTACTTTATCTTTAATATTAAATAACAGTAATATAATATTTATTATCTTATTTTTAAAATATATTCAACTACTTGCAAATATATTTTGATTACAGTCTAAAACAATTTACTCGCTTACATTTCCAACACTTTAGTAATTCCCATTAGAGACAAGTCTTTGTCATTATCACCCTCTGTAATTCAACTAGGAACTCGGCAAACTTTCGTAGGACTGCTTGATGTATTCAAATTCGCTTTGCCCCCAGCGATGCCGGATCTGGATCCAGTTATAAGTGGAGCCCCAAAGGTGCTGAAGCCTGGCGAGCAGATATTCCTGAATTGTTCATCGGACTATTCATTGCCGCCGTCGGATATAAATTGGTATATCGACAACGAGCTACAAAAGGTCAGTTGGGAATATTCCAATTGCGCTAATATCTACTAGTACTCTTTTTGTTTTTAGGAGTCGTTTTCATTGCGAGTATTTAGCACTTAATGAAAATTTTAATAAATGTTTCAATAAACTTATATAGTTACATATATATAATCAGCTAAAATGTTTGCCTAAACCTTTTAATCTCATAGTATTTTGTATTGAAGAGATTTTTTTCAAATTTACGTTCCAATTTTAAATATGAGAGTATTTATGAGGACTCCTAAGGAGCCATTACAGTATCTACTATGTTCTATGAGTCACTAACATTCATTTTCATGAAGTGCAGTGTGTTCTTGTGTAATATGGTTGACTGGATCATATCTTCTGCATTATCAGTTCAGTCAACCTTTAATGAACTAAATTTATGTTAATATGTTTATTTAACACCGTTTTAGTAATATTATAACTAACGATAATTACATTTATAAGGGCTTATATTTTCACGGGTCGTATTGGGATAACCTCGTCAGAGTAATTGAGTTACTAAACGACTCAACTGTCGGTTGTTTCTAAAGCGACTGCAAAATGAAGGAGTAAAGTCTACGCTTACTTCTATTTTATGATTAACAACTTTAAGCAACTCTTTACTTTTACATTATAATTGTTTCTCGGAAAAATAAATTTATAAACAAGTAGACTTGACAAAATGACACAGAATACGTGGCTGTGTTTTATGAGTGTTTTACAGTTTAATACTGTCATTTTTATTTTATACTGTCATCATTTCGTTTTATATTATCAAATTTCACACTTATCACAATTCACACGGCGCCATTATGTCCCAAGCTAAGTAGTACCCATAACACAAGATATGAGTACTAGATGACAGGTAGAAATACTTAAAAAATAATCGTACCTATTGATTAATGAAGAGATTGGCAGATCAATAAATTACAAAACTAGACATAACCCCAACTAACCGAATCTTGTAGAACAATTTGTGATAGAATAAATATTGTATAGTAGCAGTAGACGCCGTAAGGTGGTGATATGCATAATTTTGTTTTATTTTTTTGTTTAGAGAATACAAATAAAATTGTGAATAGATAGTATTAAAAGAGATTCTCAACGTAGAATTTCTGACGATTCGTTTATTGAACTGACTTTATCTTCCACTGGTGAGCCAGTCAGTCAGTGCATACCGTTAGTAAAGACGTACATATGGCATTACTATTCGTAAAACAATCTGTAGACTTTTTCTGCTCTCGTATTTATTAGGTTTAAATCAAATGTATATTATATATGTAGCTATATATAATATACATTTTTTAAACCAGTTATTTCCTGTATATTTTCAGTTCTAATTTTATTGTGTACCATTCTATACCTATAAGTCTTCACTGTTTATTGTACCTATCTTATCTCCATATTTTGTTTTATAACTTTATGTAGAAACACGCTCCCCTTCAAAGTTTTGACAAGGACCCACAGCAAACGAGACAAACTTCAGCAGATAACATTCTTTGCTATGGGGTGGCCTTACTTTACATTTAGGTACTCTATTTTTTTTAAATAACGTATAAAAAATATAATTTATTTTCTTGAAATTTTTCATATTCAATACTTGGATCAGATTGAAATTTCAATGAAAATTATAGAAATATATATGTGCGTGATTTAATACGCGCAACAGGTTGAGAAACTAAATAGGTGTAGAAACTAATATAACAATATTTTTATATCCCACTACGAATCGATTTGCTTTTTATGCTAATAAATGTATCCAATTATTATAATAAGTGGTTAAATAATTACCATAATTATATTTACCAATTATTCTCTAGTTATTATTTTAACATATGGATTTATGTAAACTATTCATAGAAGTCGACTGTTATTTTATAAATTTATTATCAGTAAATTTTATAAAATAGACGTAGGGCAACTAATTGGAATTCTTATACCTACTTTTTTTAAGATAATTATTGGTTGGCTTCCAACTGTACTATAACTATTTGCCTAATAGATGTTATTTTGAATATATTCACTCTAAAGTAAATCTAGTGTACAAAATATGTACACTAGATTTAAATTTATTTAAAAAAAAGTGTTTAACATTTAAATAAAAATAATATGTCATTTGAAAGCTTGAAACCTAAGCTTTAAAAATACATCAACGTCATGAAATAAAACAATTACTAACATGTTCATTTGCACAATTAAGACGTATGGGACAAATTACTCACTACGCCACCTGCGAGTTGCGTTACCCTGTACCCCTATAAAAACCCCCATGACCCTTCAACCCTTATCAGTCGCTTATCAACAGTTGACCGATACTCGATCTCCACAACCTGCATTCATTGTTTTCAAGAAACCATGAATACCACATCTTAAGGAGCCGCTCAAGTTGTTGCCTTATTGCAATAAGGATTCAGTCAGCGAGTAGTCGCTTCCTAGCTTCACTAGAGTCACTCTGCTGTATCCCGAGTATACAGTCGATATCAAGAGACTGGAGCATTCACTCAGAGAACAACAACCAGCCGCCACCGTTGTACTTCTGAACAAGATGACCGTTACTAAAATTCAAATGACATGATATTTTTATTCAAATGTTCTTTTATTTAGCACAATATTTGAATGTAGAGGTAGCGCTTGAGTCGATTTGGTTGCTCGCGAATATATTATCACATACTTAAAACATTTTATCTGTATAACTATACAGATTAAATCTATCATCTAGTGGTATTAATTTTATGATTAAACAAATGAAATCTTTAGCACAGAAATAATAATGAGATATAGAATAATATTGAGATAGTGGTTCAGTTAATAAATTTAAGAAATTCTGATATATATTATATAATACATTTAAAAATGATGATGAAAAACCATATTATTTTAATTTCTTATTTCAAAGAGAACAAAAATATTTTTTTATGTCATTGGTAATTCTCTATATACATGAGCATCACTACGGATATCATGTAACCATGTGACGCCTGCGATAGAACTCACAGGTTCTCATTCCAGAGAACTTAGAATTTATGCCTCTTATCCTCTAATTTCTATCTTTTTAGCGACCCTTAGTATATGGTGGCTGAAATAGGTGACAGAGGCTGATGAGGAAAGTGGATTCTTCATGTAGGTACAAATAGAATAATTACAGTTTCAATAGAACATACTTTTAATAAGATTGTGTACTTCCAACGAAACGAGTGCAATATAGCTCGAGGTCTTTTCCTAGAATGCTGCATCTAGAGAAGCTAATTTTATAAGTGTAATTTTTAATCTAGCAAGAACCTGGAGGATCGCCTGAAGCTTTCTTGTAGATAAATTGAATTTTCTCCGTAATAATTTATGTACACATATAGAATAATATAAATATTCCCAAATTGAAACTTTTTTGTAATCAGTTATACATTAAATAAATGCGAATAAGATGTGCTTTTTATTTCACAAATAGGTATATTTTAATAGACACATGGAAAAAAATATAATGCAAATTGTAAAGCGAATCCAGTTGTTAGTAAAAAGAATAATTTAAATCCATTAAATTTTCGGAGGCAACAGAAAAAATCTCTGCAATTCAGTACCTTTATACTTAAAATATATGTATATGTAAGTCTAGGTTCTCTATATTTAAAAAATGTATATACCTATTATACTCGTATATAGATAATTCAAAGCTGTCGAAATCTCTTGAACCGTTTGACAGTGACAGATATCCAAAAATCTAAAATCGTTGTAAATGTTCACATTCTTATATTTATAGGATAATAAATATACGTAAGAATAATAAAATAACAAACATTCTAATTAATCAGACTTCGATGGCTTTTATTTATACAGTCGATTATAGCCACTTATGTAGTCATAGGTCAGTTTGTTATATTTTTTTTATTCTACGGTCCAATCTAGTTGGAATTAATCTGTTAATAATTTTATTTTGTTAATTTCTCCCATTTGTAATCGTTTTTGTTATTGTCTTTCACATTTATTACAAATATGCAACAGTTCAGACTAATCTATATGCATGTACACATATAAAAATAATAAATAATGTAAATATCCAAGCATAAAATAAAAAAGCATAAAGTACTATTCAGAATCTTCTATAAAAAGATACAACAATACACATAAATACACTTAATTCATAGGTTAAAAGTAAATATATATGTATTTATGTACTATTTACGGACAATTTAGTACAATGCAAAATAAATTCTACTTAAATCTTACAATGTGTTGCATAGTACATATACTTTTGCGCAGCTAACCATTAGTAAGCTCATTGTAAAAGCGACTTAAAGCAGTCAAGCTACTCTTTAAATCTTCGCTAATGGCCTTTTAAAACACCCGGTATATTTGGCCAAAATGCCCTCCTTTATTCTCTGAAGCACACCTTAAAATATTTATGCCTAATTAGGCATTACTCGGATCTGCATGAAAGTAAGAAAACTTATTTGTCATAATGCCTTTGCAGCACATTCAAGAACAGAATCAACAATGTAGTTAATATATCCAGTGCTATATCCCATCGCTTACGTAATAATTAGATGCCTAATCTACCTAGTTACCCAGTGATGGTACTAAATGGTAATAATGTAATTGTAATACACCACATTATTACCAAAATATTTTAATGAAGGACCTCGTTTCGACTTTTATGCTACTTTAATTTGGATATTTTGTTGTATTTTATAACATTGTAACAAAATGCATCTTACTGTCTGTGATAAATAACAGTTTAGCTACAAAGACTACATTGAATTTGTTTATCAAAGATGATTAACAAAACTAGTTCAAAATAAAGGAATAAAGAAAAGAAAGTGCAAAAGGGAAAGAATATAGTCAAGGAGGATTAAAGGGAATCTGAAAGACTCAATGAAACAAAAAATGAAAATGTATTTGATATGAAGATATACAGAAGTACTAATAGATATATATTATGTTATGTTTATTATTTAGCAATGAATTACACGTAAGTTCATGAAATAATTTCATATTAAAATAATAATTAACGCTATTTACGCAAGCACGGGTGAATTGTTTTCCTTCTTCGGACAAAATGAGGAAAACAAAGTTTCATTTTCTTTTGCTTATAAAAAACCAATCGTGGGGTCTAAAACCGCTGACCCTTCTACTTTTCGTTTGAAATTCCAATTAGGTCAATAGAAATACATTTCACCGTTTTAAATTTAATTCAGATCCTGTACTTTTATCAAAGGAAAAACAGGGTTAACGTAAATGAGTGTATTTTTCTATTTGTTCCAATGGCCTTTTAAAATTACTCTAAAATTTATATTTATTGCGGAATAAAAGAACTCGGACAGGTATAAAATCACAATGATTGTTACTATTGTTTTGTAGCTTGATTGTTATAAAGCTTCTATAGTTCAATGGAAAATGAAAAGCATTCGTCTGTTCCAAAACTTCGATAAATGATTTGAAAATGAATTTCGGTAAAACTAGTTATGTATCGAATCTAATTCGATTGGGCTATTAATAAAAAACTCACCATATATGTACTCGTATTGTAAATGGCATAGTTTTAAATAATATATATCAGTAAACTTTATCTTTAGGAAAAAGATAAAAGGTTATTCATATATATTCTTCATTATTTATTCCATATAGATTATTAATACGAATAGATTTGATTTATTATTAGTATAAACAATTTTATTTACATCTGAAAGAACTACTTGTTACTTCAATTTAAACAATACTGAAATAGGAAACGAATAAATAAGTATATACATTTTTATTCGGCTTGCCATTGCAGCGGTTGTAGTCCTTAGAGGCTCTTTTTCAAGCCAAAAAGGCTTCAAGGTACTACGATAGTACATATTGTTGGGATACATCCTTCATTGCCAATACACTACGTTGCTTAGTAACTGGAAGTCTTGACTGATTTATTGCTCTGTAGGTTACCAAAGCGATTCAGAGAAGACACGACACCAACGGTCTTGGTATTAATTAATAATTAAGAAACAGACATCAACACGTTTAACAAATTATGTTTCAGAAATTATTTTATAATTAATAAATGTATATTATGCTTTTAGTAGAAATTAATGTTTCGGACGATGTACTTCTATTAAAAATATAGAAAAAAGAATTTTTTTTAATCCATAAATCATTAGATACACAAGGTATTAGAATTTGTTACCTGCAAGGAATATGAAATTTCTGGCGAGCGTTGTTGAGCCATTTTTTTTCAAATTAATATAATATTATAATATTGAAGCTTATAATATTATTTTCAAATTAATATAATATTATAAGCTTCACTGAACGATAGAGAGCGAGTGCAGATGGGTCTGCAAATCCGCGAAAGGACTTATAAAGTGGGTGAAGGCCAACTCCTGACTTTAGTCTGAGGGCACCAGTAATATGTCGCAATCATAAACAATTACACAGAGGCAATGCGCACGTGACACCTCGTGTAGCTACAGGAACCGTTTACCATTGGTATGTCCGCATGCTTATTTGCAGGGATATTAGGGAGCTCCGTAACCGTAACCGAAACTATCGGATATATCCGATATAAAAAAATATTCGCAACCGTAACCGAATCCGAAATAAAAGATTCGGATAATATCGGATAGGGGCGGAGCATAATTGAGACACGTTATGAAACCATTTTATTAGCTATTTGTATTTCACTTTTGAAATTCCTTTAATATCTATAACCGAAATTATCCGAAACTAACGGATAATCCGAAATAATTTCATATCCGCATCCGTATCCATATCCAGTATAATAATATATATATATATACGACTGTTAACCCAGATGGGATAGTTAGAGGAATTGACGATTAATAATGTTGTGGTGAATATGCCCATTTATTTCTCGGATTGAGAGCTAGTAAGAAATACAGAGAGAGAGGCAATTTTGAACTATCGCTATAACCTAACGGTTTACTACCCCAATTTACAAACACACACGCACGGTCACAACGCTTTTATTCCCAGATATAGATAATTCAATTATTATTATAAACATAATAATAATAATAATTGAATTATCTAAAATATTGCTGACAGTATTTATTCAATAGTAATATTATTACAGCCCGAAGCTTGGCAGAGGACGGAGCTGAGTGCAGTTCAGCCTGGTGGTCTTCGTATGTCCTGGCGAGTGCTGAGGCTACGGGTTCCGACTACAGTTAGCGGCGCGTTGAGGATACGCTGCGAATCCATACTGTTGGTCGAACCTCCTGTAGTTCGAGACACGGCCACAATCATCACTGTGCACTCTCAGACACAGTTATCGAAATATGTTTCTAATAATAGAGGTAATAATACTACCAATAGTACTAGTAATAGAGGAAACGCCCGTTACACATGGAACGACTAATTATAATTCTTTCGTAATTTAAACAAAAAATACAGTAACTTTTCAAAGGCTGTTACATAATATGGGCATATATCAGAAAGAATTACATGTATACGGCTTTACATTTTCTTTCTCCATAATTCATATTAATTTATTTTACATTGTCATAAGTAATAGAACAAATTTTCGTATTTATAAATACGAATTCCAAATATCATTAGCATTAATATACTAAAATTTATACTTTACAACCATTCGTATTTGAAATTAGTTTTATGGAAATCAAACGACTCATTTAAATTACTCATTAAGTTTAATACTCACATAATAAACATGTGATTACATGAAAAAGTACAAAGTGCTTAGCATAATAGAATTTATAATCTTGACGAAATTCTCCCCCAATGAGCGATGACGTTTAATATTTATGAAAATTAACTTTTGCACCCGACAAACAATCAGGAGACATAATTAGGACCATGGTGTTTGTTGTCACATGCAAACACATTAAAAGATTTCCTCTCGGAAATTTTAGAGGTTGTACGTTGTTTTCGCATTTGTATTCGAAAATGTCTTTATACCTTCACTATTCTTCACTTATACTTTTTCATATATTAATTGAATGATTACCAAAAATATCTTTAAATCTGTACATTGACTCTACTATTGTTGACGCGGCAAACGTTGTTTTGCCATATAAATTTGTCTCATCACATAGGCATATAAAAAATTGCCTACAATCTATTATCTGGCTTGACAAACATGTAAGGCATATGCTAAACATTTTATACACCAAACATGTTATAAAAATTGGGCAAGCCGCTTCATAGAAGTTATATAACAAGTGTTTTCAATATATGTATATATTTTTATGAGTTTTGTCACAAGTCATTGCACTGAAAACCAGTTGTTAGTTCTTTTGCAAAATACAATACATTTCAGATCTTTTTACGAATAATATTTAATTAATTCTACGTGAATTTCCTATTTAGTCTTCTTATATTACTTTTATATCCAAAATTGCAGACATGCAAATAACGAGATAAATATGAAAGAAGAAAGACGACAAAATCCTTTTTTCGGAATTTATTTTATGTCTCCTGAAAGTACTGTAATGTCAAACATATTATATTATACATGTTAGAGGTATATCGCATATTTTGTCAAAAAGTTACCTTGAATTCACCCATCTGCTACATCATAGCAGCGAAGAATGGAATTTTTGTAATTTTTTAGGAACTGTGGTTAAATATTGTAATGTATATACGGTATTCGAAAGAAATATTCAACAAGCGATTTTTGTATAGCTACATATTCACACAAAGTTTTGTATTATTGAGTACAGTACTCAAGACCGACATTTTAACAGGTTGCTTAACTTATTTAAAAGGGACAATAATTAAATTTGTTAAAATTAATACGCCAACTACTATTTTATTAATCATCTAATAGATCGTTTCCTTTTTATTATTATTATTATTAATAATAATGGGTATGCGCTTGGTGTTACCTCATCGTATAGATTCTTTATTCATTATTGTTGTTTTATAACCATCAATACATACGCATATAAAGATATGCGGGTGCAGAATGAGTTTACGTACAGTTAGTTACGTACGTTTAGTTTATTAAGTACAGTTTTAGAATGAAATGATAAATAAATATTAAGTTTATATATATAAGTTTCTATTATTTAGATATAATTTATAATTTCACATGTGTTTATGTTACAGGTATAAACATAACTGCAAGTACAGTGTTATTAATAGCAGTAACGTGGACTCTTAATGAAATATCAATATTCATGAGCTTATGAGGATGGGTTTGAAGTTTATCTGGTGATATTAGTGTAAGTGTAGATAATAACGATTGGCATACATTTCGTGTACCTACCACAAATGTAACAAAGAAATTTATTGTAACTATAGAACAAAATTACATAATTATGTATAAAATCCCGAAACAAAAATTACCTAAGGAACCTCATAATTATGTATCGTGAAGGATTTATTATTTTTTGTACATTCTAAAATATTAGAAATTGTATAAAGTAAGGACATATAAAAAATAATATATAGAGTTGTTCCATATATAGGTGTGAAGTCAGGTTTAGATTATTAACTACAATAAAATTATTTCTTATTTGAAAACTGCAAATATTAATTATGTAAGCATCAAAAACGGTATTTGGGAACAGAAATTCTATAACACACTACCAGAATAATCATATTGTTGTTATTAAAAAGACCGTAAGTAGTTTATTAATTATAATATTGTAGGTATTCCAAATTTCCTTAACTCAGATAAATTAAACTCAATTTAATGCAATAGTAATCAGATAATTTATTTTTTCTGTTTTATTGGAATTATTATCTAAACCTGCCTTCACAATAAATTCTTGAAAAATAAAACTATAATTGTAATATAAACAAAAATATTATGTTTTTTTATTATATCACTTTTGTAGATCTTCTGAACGTTAATTAGTTATTTGTAATATAAATTACTGATAGATGAATTATTAGGCATTAATCTATGGCTGTGTTTTCACTTAAGATAATGTCAATTCTTTGCACGACATCATCTTTTAAATATATTGTACAGTGACACAAAATTGATGTTTTGTTTCTGTTTTCTTTGTATTGTATTTATTGTAAATTTTAAATGGAATACGTAAATAAAGTTATTGAGAAATACCATTGTATGGATTCATTTCTGTGTAACTGCTCTTTTTATATTTCTATATTTCGCGTCATGCGTATTTCGCCAATTTAGCCCAAATCATACAAAACAACAAAGTTGAAAGATGTACGAGATATATCGACTCTACCAAATATGAACTGTAGTATTTTTTTGCATATAATAATAAAGACAAAGTTATGGTATACAGTAACTCTTTATCAGAAGCAACAACCAATATAAATATATAAAAATATTCCAATAAAAGAGAACCATACGCTAAACCAAACATGAATATGTAATTCACAAAGTTTTAATGATTGAACTATAAACAGCAAAGCGCAATAATAGGAAACGAAGCTATACGAATAGACCGACATACGTCTAGACACGATATTTTAAACAAATTTCTGTTTAATTTATTTTGTTAGAGGCATACTTTGTTACTCCAAAAAGAGGTTTTTCATGATCCCGTCTAACTTTACTTCAGTAATATAGTGATGTGGTAACCACAGGGCTTCAAATGGGATCCATCGAGAAAAATAGGGCGAAATTGGACCGAAACGAATTGCTTCTTTGCCTTGGGTTTGAATGTTTCAGGTTGTTGGGTCCACATGTTAGTTATCTGGTTTCTAATAACACTGATTCTTTCACTTAATTGAAGACGAAGGAAATTATGTTTTTGTTGTCAACATTATATTTGCCATCACCTTAATGGGCGGGTAGGTATTTGACAGTATCATTGTTAACAAGTTATATGCCGTATTTCGAAATAAAGGATGATATCATGGCTGTGAGGTTACTAGATATACAGGGTGTAACGGAAAGGGTATATCAAGCCAAAGGGATCGGATACAGTTAGTTATTTAAAACCCTTTATGCATATTTTCTGATCAAATATAATACTTTAAACAATATTAAATTATTATTTTTTTCTTTAACTAATTTAATGTTACTTCAAAATAAACGTATCCCAACACTAGGGGTCATTATACAATAACATAGAAAGCGACTGAAGAAAGAAATATTGCGCATTAGTTATTACAATTCCTGTTCGCCTGGTACGGGGAAGTTGGGCTACTTGTTGACCGTATCCGTAATTTTTTTTTGTGTGAAAGAATGAAAAATGCAAGTATCTTAATAATGTTATTTCTTAGCATTAATGAATAATTAGGTGTTTAACTTGTGATATTATTTTTAATTTGTGATAGGCTACTTGCATATCACAAATTGACCACAATGTAGTTTTTTTTCTTTTTTTGCGATATTCCAATAGTGTTTTCTTTTTTTAATGGATGATAATAGAATCATGTACCCGGCTGCGTTAATGGTATACGCTGGCGGGGCACTAGTGAAAGACATGAGCATGAAATTAAGCCAATTACCCATCGTGGTAAATTAACCATGACGATTTCTAGGGGACCACGTGGAGGTCGACCTAAGGGGGGACCTCCCTGGAAACGTGGTAAATTGTTAGCAACTGTATTACTGTTACCCTTTACTAACAATCCCTTCCCCCATATCCCAATTGTTGTTGTCAATCATCTAATATAAACAAAAAAAAAATACGCTACCTCAAAAATTAAAACTATAAACATACATTTTTCGTTTACTAAATCAGTACACGCAGCGGTTCATTTTACCCTTTTCCGGGATTTCCCCAAATTAGAGCTCAGAGTTCCGTTATAATTTTACAAAACCGTAGTCAAAGTGATAACCGTCATTGTTCATGAGTTCCTAGTACTTAATATGATTTATGTATTTGTAATGAGTGCAAATCAAACTGGCATCATTCATTAGCGGATGAAGTCTTTGTTCTGCAGTAGAAATAAGCTGTTGATCAAGTGTTCGTATCAACTACAGGTTGACATGCCGTGTGGACGCTGGTTTGTCGGTGTCAAAATAAATATTAAATCGACGGCCTCAGTGCTTCAGCGGTGTGCTTTACTTACGATGGTCGCGGGTTCGATCCCTCGCACGGTGCAAAAATTTGTGTATTCATGCGTGTGATTGTTTATATCGATTTAGGTATTTTCTATGTATATTATGTATGTATTTAGAAAAAAAACTAAGTTTTTGTATCAGTTCATTAATACTCATAACACAAGCCCTGCTTACCGTGGGACTAGATGTGATCAGTGTTTTTTTATTTATTTAAATACAAGATACGCTTTCGAAAAAATAACCCGTTGATAATAATTTATCACGTAAAGTTGACCTTCACGCGGTCCGCTCACGAAACCGTCGTGGATAATTGCTGCTGAGTTCGCCACGATGGCCTCTGTGACTTGATTTCATGTTTATTCCATCATCCTTCACTAGTTTCCCATCAAAGTATACCTTTAGAACTGGTATCCACCTGTGTTCAAATATTATTTATAAAAAATGCCTAGTCATCCAACCAATAAACTTAGCACGTAGTAACTTGTAGAATTGAAATTTTTAAAATTTAACTGAGGAATAATTATTTTAGAAATCTTCTATATAAACCTTTGGGTTTATATAAAAGATTATTGTTTGTAACAGGTAATTAAGGTAAGTCTTAAATTGTGTACAACGAGAGATCTAAAGTGCTTGCTCTTGAGGTAACTTAAAAAGTTTTAGAGACCTTCTAAGTGATATGAAATTGTAATATAAAATTTCTCTCAAAAATAACATTCAACTTTGCTAAAGCATTATTAAAGTAAACTGGAATTGGTTATGGATTCTAATTACATTTAAAAATTAGGTGATAACAATCTATTAATTTATATATTTACCTTGCAACTCAGTAGTCATAGTAGTACATACTCGTAGGTATGTAGTGTAACTTACATTAACGGTCTCGTTAATGTAGGTAAAAATAAGAATAATTGAAATCGGCAAAGATGTTACGTGAATATAGTTAAAAATATTATCAAAACGAGAACTGTTCGAATCTATTTCTTACACCACCGTGGTGTAGCGATAAAAGACACAATTTTTCTTCCGATGGTCACGGGTTCAATTCCTCGAACAGTACAATTTTTTGTATTCATAAGTATGTTTGCATCGGTCTGGGTGTTTTCTATGTATATTATATATATATTTACAAAAAAGATATATATCTAAGTATTCTTATTAGTTGTCTAGTACCCATAACAAGGTGTTACATATGAATAGGATGGTTATAAGGGAAGAGAAAGGCCGAAAAAGAGATGAATGGACTGTATGAAAGATGATATGATAAGAAAGGAAGTAAATAACAAAATGACTGCGAACAGGGATGAATGGAAGAGAAAAACATATTACGCCGACCTCAAATGATGATGTCTAGTACCCATAACACAAGCTCTGCTTATAGTGACTTTTAATAATTAAATGGCTAAAAGGATTTTATTATTATTTTACATGAAGTTATATTTTTCTGGAGACGGATGTTGGCCATCTACAACAAAACAAACACATCGTCAAGGATGTCATCCCAAATAGTCGGAGGTATTATCAACTGTCGATGTTGTGGTGAATAAAACAATTGACATGCCCACATGTCGCTGGATGTATTTGAATGCTATATGGTAGGAGCCTCTACCGCAGTCTATTGGATTATTTTTTGTTTTGAAATCGATGTTTCCTTCATTGGAGAGCGAGTGAGTTAGAAATATACAATTTATGTGGCTGCCATTTTTAAGTTCACAACTTTTCTTGTACGTTAGGGTAGCAAACCTATAGTCCACGACGCACTTAAGCTCTGTAGATTATCTATTATCTTAAAAAAGCGTTAAATCCTTTGTATAGTTAGTGTTATTTTTTTATATCATAATGATGTCAGTCAAGCATACGGCCATCTGATGGTAAACGGCTGCCATAGCCTACTGATGCCTGAAACAATAAGGGTATCACCTGCCTGTTATAGACCTTAACCCTTGGCACTAGATTCCATATTCACACGAATTTGTAAGTATATCGCTGGAGAGGATTTGCAGTAAGTCAATTATATCCTGTAATTATATTATATTATCGAGGCCTCCCGATAATCTAAAGGATCTAATCTGATCATATCAGTAGAGTAACTATACAAAGTTATATTTAATAATATTCGTAACTAGCCGAATCCCACGGCGCTTCATGTGTGAAAAACAATCCATGTTACTTGCCGATATTATAATCATAATCTTAATAATATTATAAACACAAAAGTGTGTAAGTATGAATGTTTGTTACTCTGAAAAATTAAAAAAGCGCATAAACTACTGAACGGATTTTGATGAAATTTTACAGTAATATAGATTATGCATCAGAATAATACATAGGCTAGATTTTACATTGAAATTTAGTGCGGTTGAAACCGCGGGCATAGCTAGTATTAAATATGTATTTCATAAGTATATTTTTTCTTAAGTAATTAGAATGACAAACAATCCCACCTGATGGAAAGTGGTAACACATAACATTATGTTCAATATATATATGATTGAACAATAATAATACCGTAACTGTAGAACCGCAAGAGTCAGCTAGTTTAAAATGAAGTATCCTAACTTTTTGTTTATATTATGGAAATATGAGATGGATCTATGCATAATGACCTATAAAGGTGAGTTATAGAAATAGATAGCCAATGTAACAAAGAATCAATAAAGAAACACACACAAACAAGTAGCATTTATGGTCTTTGAGTTCTAAGTGTATAAGTATAAAGTATAGGAAGAACATCGCAGTGATATGTGGCATACCCTCTCACTGCAGAGATACTAACTTCATAAGAGGAGAATATTATCACCAGGTAAGCCAAGTGGCTGGTATATAGTTTTGTTAAGTGTCCATTCATTTTTTGGGTAGATTTAGGCAAGTAGACTTATTTCTGTAAAACATTCTAACAACACTCGCTTCAGTTTTGATCTTTTATAAGTATAACGGTTATTAGTCCTTTGCGCATATCCTTATTAGGGATTCTAGCACACAGCGAAATTCCGGGCATAGTTTTCTCTATAGCTCGTTGAACGACTTGGAACTTTCTAATAATTATGATCAGCGCTATCCTGAGAGCTGGCTATGTGTATACTTGCATGTTCTATTTACAGATATAACCTATATATATATAAATTAGTAGAAAATTAATTGATTTCATGTAAATGGAACCGCAAACAAAC